ATGAATTCTTATTTCCTTAAAAACCAGAAAAAGAGCTGGCCGAGTGGCTCAGTTGGTTAAGAGCTCGCTCAAAAGTTTGCGCTCTAAGCAACAGCGGTTCGATTCCCAGCCTGAGCTGAGCAGCCACTAAGTTGCCAACAGGTGGCAGGATGGCTCAGCTTAAAAAAAAAACAAAAAACAGAAAAAGAACCAGGAAAAAGAGGCCAGATATGTTAAAATTTTCATTGAGTTGTTCCTTGATTCTTTTGAAATGCTGGGCAATTAAATCAATATCCCTCTTTGATACTTCTAGTATCAAACCTTCCCATGTTTCATATTTGCCTATAAAATACCCTTCCCTAACGTTTCTCCACTGCTTATTTGAACATCTCATCTTTCTATAAAAGAAAAAGAAATAGTGAAATTAATGACTCAAAACTTCATTCTGTCACTTTAGCAGTTATTTAGATTGTGGTGTACTGTACTGCTGTTTCTGTCTTTGACTTAGAATTGTGAGTTCTAGCAAGCTGACAGTAAATCTTGGTTGAGTAAGAATCTCCTTGCTTCAAGAATATTAAATGGGGGCCGGCCGAGTGGCTCAGTTGGTTAAGAGTTTGCTTAAGAGTACAAGCTCTGAGCGACAGGGTCGCTGGTTTGATTCCCACATGGGCCAGTAAGCTTCGCCCAAGCTGCACCTGAGCTAAGCTGCTGCTGAGCTGCTAACAGGTGGCAGGATGGCTCAGCTGGTGAGAGCACATGCTCCTAATGACAAGATTGCGTTTGATGGTGGGCTGTGCTCACCTGTGGTTGGGACTGAACTCGGCACCTTGAGCTGAGATGCCACCCAGATGGCTCAATGGATAGATCATGCGCTCTTAACAGCAAGGTTGCCGGTTGGACTCCTGCATGGAAAAAAAAACAAACCAAAGACTATTAAATGAATTAATGAAATAATCTCAGCAAAGTGTTTTAAGCCATATACATATTCATATACATACACAATACATGCACACACACACACACTCTCGTATATATAGTTAGAGACAGAAGAGTTTCATATGCATACATACTTTTCCATTATCAGATGAAATGAAATGATAGACTCACCTGTAATTAATTACATGGCTTTTATTCAGTCCTTATGAACATTGTCATGCAGATGTAAAAGTTACCTTGGATTTCTGCATAGCCTTGGGAGATTATAACATGAAAGCCTAGCCTATGCCAGTAGTGTTGGCTCACTTTGGAAATGACCGGGGTTTTGATATTTTCAGCCCTAGCCGAGCTTTCTTTTGTGGGTAGTATGATTGCCTAGTGTTTTCATAGTCATTCCAGAGTGAATAAAACTTTCCTGTGCCTTCTCCTTTATAAATGTGATATTTCCCCCCCTAACGATTCACTGGGCACATTTCAAATTGTGTTATGATTTCTGGGTCCTTTATAAAATTTAAGTTTTTACTTTATGGACGTATCTTATATGTTTGTCAGTTTTTGTGTAGGTTGTATTCACTGTGGAATTAAACAAGTTAGAATAAATTATTCATGAAATAAAGTTATTTATATATATTCTTTTTATGCTATCTTTTTTGTTTTTAGTGATAGAAAACGGGCTAGAGAATTTATAGACTCTGATTTTTCAGAGAGGTGAGTATAAGTGTAAGTATTTTTTTGGGGAGATGCTACTGAGTAGAGGGTTTGGTGCCCAGACTCTACTCTAGTTTAAGTTATAACGTGAGATGTTTTTCTTCACATAACTTTAATTTTATTGAGTTTCTACCATTATTTCATGCTACGTTGAATATTCTACTTCACTTACCATTACATAAATGTGTCATATCTGTATGGTTTCAAGAGAAATTCTCCTGTGAGTAGATTGGCTATCGGTAGTGTGTCCTTTAGCTGCCTCCCTCCTTTTGGGAGATGACGTGTTCTACCAAAGTGAATACTCCACGTCACCTCAACATGCCCAAACTTTTGAAAGACAAGTTTTATAGGACACATTTAAAGATCATAGTAAATTCTCACTTCTTTCTTAAATAATATATCGAGTATAATATAACCTTTTCTTAGACTATTAGGACAGTGTTTCTCAATTTTCATTGTGCATCGTAATCACCTGTGGTCTGTTGAAAAAAAATATAAATGCCTACCTACCAAGTGAGAAACTTCAGGATTTAAAAACTGTCAGTTTATAGTCATTATTTGAACTGACGTTCAATAGTCCATGCAAGCCACTCTACTGGGTACTATATTAATGTTTCACACTTAAAATAAAACACATAGTCTTAGGGGCAATGGAATTATGTAAGATTGTTACTATTTTAAGTAAGACCTTGCCAGTTATGCTTTTTAATTTTTATTTTTGACTCTAAGATTTTGCAGTTCCATTTTTCAGTGGTGTTTCTTTCTCCTTTGATCAGCTTTCAATATAATAGTTTTCTGTCTTCCATTTTTTAGTTTACAATCTCTGAGTTGCTGTGCACTGAGAAACTAGATGGTCATTTGTGTTAAAAATTCGGTCTAAAATAAACAGGACTAGGCTCTGAGTAGGACCTTGGGGCTCCATGTGAAAAATGAGGGTTTTCTTCCATTGACACTGGCTCGGCTTTAGTTCCTTGATGGCCTTTGTTGCTTGCTTCTTGGTTCTGAATTGTTTTGAACACATAAAATCATGTCTGAGGAACTGCTCTATCATATAAAAATATATGGCAAAATGTTCTTCCTCTCTAACGGAAATTCCTCTTTTCAACTCTTACTGGTCTTCTTTGTATTTAGCTTTGGAAAGGGTAGCAGTACAAGTTCTTACAGATGTATTAGCAATCTTTACAGCCTTAAAATGGAACTATGCGTTAGTTATGATTGATGGCACCTATGTACTGCAAACAGTATAAAAAACAAGGTTCTCTACACTCTCCTTCATGAGAGAGACAGTTAAAGATCACATGTAAAAGTGCTACATTAAATTTGCTGGTGTATCCATTGTTTCAACTTTGCCTTTCTGCATCTGGTTCAGTGGCTTTTTTTCCCCTAGTGATTTTTATTATTCTGTTTTTATTTTTTAATATAACGTCGATGTAAAGAATTCCATTCCTTCCCCCCTCTCCCCAGCCCACAAAGATTACTACATGTGGTTTTTATTGTTGTTCTTACAAGTGTTTATTTTCCTCTAATTTTATTATGGGTTTTTTTGTAATGCCATGAAAAAGTCTTTGGTTTGCTTCTCCAAAATGTTCGTGTTAAAAAAGTAAGCTCTCAACCACGACTAATTTATTATTATTATTATTATTATTATTATTATTAAAACTTATTGGGGTGACAATGATCAACAAAACTACATAGGTTTCAAGTGTATATTTCTATAATACATCATCTGTATAGTGCATTATGTGTTCATCACTCAGAGTCAGTTCTCCTTCCATCACCATATATTTGACCCCCTTTACCCTCTTCTACCTCCCCCCTCCCCCCTTACCCTCTGGTAACCACCAAACTGTTGTCTGTGTCTATGGGTTTTTGTTTCTTTGTCCTGTTCCTTTGTTGCCTTCAGTTTTATATCACACATATGAGTGAAATCATATGATTCTTGACTTTTTCTGAACCACAGACTAATCTTTATCTCTTCAATGTCTTGTATGTTGGTTTAGTATCATATATAAGTATTCATATTAGTCTTTCTCAAGGATTTATACATCAACATATGAGGATATATACAAACTTTTTATCCTCATCTTACCGTGTGACAGCCCAACTTGAAGTATGTTTTACTCAGCTGTTCCTTGGTCAAGGCCATTTGCAAGAGCAAGGCAGTTTCTGAAGAAATCTTACTTGGTGGGTGAAGGATCCATTAAGAGATTCTCATTAGTTTTTTTTCCCTGTATTCTGGTCCACTGGACTTCTTTTTAAAGAGCTTGCAGAAGGAGCTGTGAAAATTCCTTTCTGGTCTTGCCTGGGGCTTTTGATCCTGAAGTTTGTTCACTTTCTCTTTTCACCTTTGGAGAGACTCTCATGGTGTCTTCTAAATAACTGCATCTCTTCCAAATAGGTCTGCTTTTCGCTTTGGGCCCTCTATTGGGAGAAGAAGGTCCCGGGTGCCCCACAGGTGGTGATGGCAGCCTGTGTGTGTTTTTCTTTATTCCTGTCCTAAATGATTAAGATTTATTTAGCACAGTGGTGTTTCATTCTTCCTTTATGCTCATGTAATCTTAATATTGTTTTTCTGTTGGCATACATAAATATAAATATAAAAAATTAATATAATCTAAACTATAATAAGCTAATAATCAGAATCAGTATAGTTAATGTCTGGACTGCTTCAATGATGTTTTTGAAGTTGTTCATTCAACAAATAATAGTTAGAATATCCATTAAGTATGGCTGTATTTTAGGCACTGGAGAGAATAATAAGATAGAAAAGCCTCTGTCCTTAAAGAGCTGATATTGGGGCTTGGGGGGCAATAAACAAGATAATTTTAGACTATGATAGGTGGTATGCAAAAAAATAAGAAGTGTGGTTTGTGGATTATTGGAAGGATTGTGGCTGCCTCTGTAAGGAGGTGACACTTGAATGCAAAGACGTGAATTATGTAAGGAGCCTGGTGAGGTGGGGGAACCAGGGATTCTAGGCAGAGGGACTGGCAAATGCATAGCTCCTAAATGAGAAAGCAGGTTGATGTATTGGGGAAAGCACAGTGGCCTGGAGATAGAGAGAAAGGCAGAGTGATATGCGATGAGGATGGAGAGGTAGGCAGGGATCAGATCCTTAGAGGCCTTGGAGGTCATGGTAGGGAATTGGGGTTTTATTCTAAGGAGGGTTTTTAGCAGGGAAATGACATGATCTAATTTATACTGGCTGCTGAAGAGGACAGAAACAGAAGCAGGGAAATCAGGTAGGAGGCTATTGCAGAGGCCAGTGGCATGGCAGTTAAGATGGAAAAAAAATGAATTAATTTTGGAGGTAGAACCAACAGGATTTGTTGATAGGTTGAATGAAGGACAGGTGGAAATAAAGGATGGCTCTTGTTTTGTTTTTGCATGAACAGCTGGGTAAATATTGATGCCATTTACATTTACTGTAGGTAGGAAGAGGTTTGGGGAAGGATTGAGTTTTGTTTTAGACATATGAAGTTCAAGAAGTTTATTAGTTATCTAAGTGATGATACCAGTAGTGTTTGTAAGTAGTTCATGAGCATGTAAAATGGTCACAGGCCTGGAGAGCATAACCCAAGGAGGGAGACAGTAAAGGCTCGTAAGGAATAAACATTTATTTCCCATCTTACGGTGCCCCCCGCACACGTACACAGTGGATACATACAGGAAAGTGAGGTTTGGGGAGGGTAAGTTTTTAAATTATTTTATCAAATTAAATTATTTTGCTGATTCAAACATTCTAATTGACTCATTTTAATGAGAACTAGTTTTTATTACATATTATATATAATCCCTTATTTAAATGAAATACATTTATTACAACTTACACTTGGGTTTTATACTACAAATTTTAGTTTTATATTACCTACATAAATAAAAATATTATTAGGAAAATATAAAAAGATAGTGGTTGTGGATTCTCATTAAGTGCCTGGAAAGATAAATACTTTTTCTTTTATTCTTTGGGTGCAATTCTTTTGAATACTTGAAATGAAATTATTATGAAAATGTAACATGCTTTTCAAACTATACTATATTAGTAGTTTTATTTTCTTATTTATTTTTTTTTAATTTCTCAGTTTGGCTTTATTTGGTAAAGAATGCCTCCTACTGGTTCCTTTATTTGATTTGTGGACTAACAGAGGTCATAGTATTTACATCCTTTGGCCAAAATTGATGTTATTTAGAAACAGGGTCTGTGTGTTTCAAAGAGCTCAGGTTCTAAAAAAAGTGTTTAAACTCTTTATTTAAGATTTGGATAAGAAGGTTCCCATTTAAGATGATGAACTGAACACCATGTTTACACCCCCAACCCCTTAAATCCTATTGACATTTTCATGTAAACAATAATAAAAGGAAATAAACCTCTAAAAATGCTGTAAAAAGTAGTAGTAGAGATACAGATTTTTCCGATTGGAAGATGAAAGCTAGTGTGATTATAATGAAGGACAAGTGAAAGAGAAATCCCCATCCCAAAATATGCATAGGAGAAGTCAGAATGGGAGGCAAAGCCATTTTCCTCTGCACTGACATGGAGAGACTCCAGGCTTAGAGCCGAAAGTATAAAAAGCAAGGACGAGTCTCCACGGGGATGTAATGAGGGCAACAAAGGGAAGACTGTCCCAGGAGCACCTGGGCCAGCGAGTTTCCCGTCCTCCACATTCCTTGAACCTCCCATTCCATCTCTAGACACATGGAAATGACACCAAAGACAGTTCCCCAGGCCGAAATTTGGAGCCTTGATCTCAAGGAAATAGAACTCCCTGCCTTGTTGAGTTTGTGACTGGCTTCTTTCATTTAGCATGTTTTCAAAGTTCATCCATGTTGAGCATGTATTCGTACTTCATTCCTTTTTGTTGCTGAATGTTATTCCATTATATGGATAGACCACATTTCGTCTGTTTGGTCCTTAATGACGCACATTTGGGTTTCTACTTTTTGGCTGTTATGAATGGTGCTGCTATGAACATTTGTGAACAGGTTTGTATATGCGTATC